TAATTAGTGGCTCACGAAGAAAAAATGATCTCAAAAACTTGCAATCTGCTTAGGACCGACAGGACCGATTTGGGACCCATCCCTAGTCAGTCCGTACCGTTATGAGTATTCGGGTAAAATCCCTTAAATTGAAATATAGGTGTTCAATCAATTTCAATAATTACAGTAAATTAAGTTATTAAAATCTTTGAACGAGAATTGTAATAATCGTTATATTATGCGACAAGACTTGCACTAAAGGTAGAGCATCTGCTCAAGAATATGACCTAATAAATTATCAAAGTTTGATTAAAAGAGCCCAAATACTCATAACGGTACGGAGGACACTTAGTTCTTAGTCATGGTGATACAAAAGTTGCGTTTTTGATTAAATAATGCATCAAAAACGTAATTTTGAAAATTCTTGTCTGTCCGCACGCGTGTCTATATTTGTACTTTAGTGTAACAAAAGCATGCATTAACCTAGTATTAGTAATTATGCGATTTTGTGTAGTTTGTCAAGAATCACACTAAAACAAATCGCATAATTTCCGTGTTCCTGCTTTAAAGTAACCGGCTGACCCGGTTAACCCGATTGTAATTATACCAGTGCGAGTGTACGGTTGGTTGAATTGATATCAGTGCGGAAATTTAAGGATTTTTGATTAGAAATGTAATTCTCAAAAAGATGATGTCATTTTCGCGCAAATTGCACCACATGACCTCATGTCTGGCGCGAAGCAAATGTCTAATTAAAAAGTCTTAGGTCACCTCGCGCTTCGCGAGAGGTCATATGATTTGTGGAATGTATACTAGTTTACTGCACTTCGCGCGAGGTACATCTATATGTTTTGATCCACGAATCTTGCAACAAGATAATAAACTTGACAGTCTTAAAATACTTGGTCTATATTTTGCAAGAATTTGCAATGATTACTTTTACTAATCAAAGTTATTTTAGTTTATCATTAGTAGGTGTTTTTTTTTTTTTTTTGGCAATTTCTATTTGTACACTATGTGTATATACACGGGTATATCGATATCTTAAAATTCTGATTATAAAACTTTTGAGGTTCTAACAAAAAAACATTCCTTGCAAAATTTTAGTATAACCTCAAACCATTTCTAATCTTAGAGCTAACCTTACTCTAACCTTAACCTGGATTGGTTTTTGTCTTATAATTTATATATTACGTGAAGCCAATTTCTAGTCAGAGTTGTTATTGGACCAAAAATGTATATATTTATAGTAGCAATTTGTATAGATTTATTGTTGGACTATAACTGGACTAAAGTAAACTGGATTGGACTAACTAAATTGAATAGAACTGGACTGTTCAATTACTTAAAACTGACGAGTTAGAATTGAATGGACCAAAAGTCCAAGAAACTGAACATATGTCCAATAACAACCCTATTTCTAGTGTATGAAACATTGGTACATTTAATAACTCAAGATCTTGCTTTCTTTGGGTCTAACAAAAAAAAAATCTCAGTGAAATTTTAATATAATTTACACTCTAACCTAACTCCTATCTATCTTGACGTTAATCTAGTTGAATTTTTTTCTTTAAATTTTACATTATATTGATCTACAAATTATATCCGTGTTTAATACACTGGTGTAAATTAATAAATTTTCTTGTAAAAATCAATAAATAAGTACTCACTGTATAAAAAAAAAAAATTTCTTTTTTTTTATTTCATCAACTATTTTTCGGATTGATGTTATTTTTTTCATTATGAAAAGATTGTGAGCTTTAATGGGTGCCTATACCTAGATTCAAAATAATATGTCGTAACTGCAAAAAGGTTTGTGCCGGATATAACGATTTAATTACGTTTAGTACTGTTATTAGATTCTTTCATGATCTTCCTTCTAACTGTTGTTAAATAAATAAATAACTTCATTGTTTCAAACATAATTGCACTGATATCTTTGGTTAAGCTCTGTACACAAATCTTGGTGGCTATGCTTGGTTCGACAGGAAAAAAACACACTTGGGGTATTTACCAGACTCTATTACGAAATTTTCATACCGAATTTTATTGCTATATTTTTCTTTCGTAATATTTTATTAGTATATAATAGTAATTATTATGTATTTGCATAATGCTTACCTTTTGCTTTACTATGTTTATTTTATAGCCATTAATACATTTTCATTATTGTTTCATTAACGTGTAATACGTTTCTTTTATTTTTAGCATTTGTAAAAGTTCTGCATAAAGGGTTGCTTGTCACTACTAAAAATGCTAGATAACTCATTAATCTTTTATCCTTTAATAAAAAGATCGATATAATACGCTTGCACATCTAATTCCTTAATTCTTACGATTCGTGCTAAATCTGGCTGTAACGTGCACTAAACTCTCTCAGGATCGTAACAACTCATCCTTGATCCGATAAATTATATATTTAAAAAGCCTCGAGGGTGGTTTTTCCTGTGGCACCCATTTCTTATTTGCATAAAACTCATTAATCTACGTTCTTAAAATAAGCTATTCAGATTCATTAGCATTTATTCTCATCTATATGTATGTAAAAATCTCATATTTAATCTAAGCTATTTATCAGTATTGCATTCACGAATTTATAGCTTAAACAAATATGTTTGTCTATATTATAATCCGGGTTACCGGATATCAATAACCATAACCCGGTTAATGGATGCCTAAAGGATCGACCGGTGATCCTTACACAGGTACAATCTCTATTTGTAAAAAATTCGCGTAAGTATAAAATATATAGTGTCAGGACTATGTTACGTGAACAGTATAAATGTGGTCAGGAAATAGCCAAACCCCTCATTCATTCTATTTAACCCTTGAGCAATAGGAAAAACGAAAATGCTTTACCATTAAGATGAGGTAAAAATTGTTCATGGTCAAAGGATTACTCATTATGAGACCTTGATCATAGCACAATTTTTATTTTTTCACCAGAAATATACAAATCAAAAAATAAAATTGAGATTAAGGCAACTGTATACATTTTTTGTTATTATTCTACAAAAAATAGTACTAATTTAAAAATGTAAAATTGAATAATAATTAACTTTTTAAAACTACCTTATAATTCGAATTAAGATAGATTCTAATTTTAATTTGATATTAGAATTATTCTATCCAATTTCTTATTTTACATTAAATCTTTATAATCAGAGATAAATTGCTGACAATATTTTTCAAGTTGATTAGCATTCAAGTTTATTGCCAATTGTCTCATAAAACCCACGTTTGACATCGAGACTAGTCGCGAGAGTTTCAATTCCATAAGATCCTTCAAATGATCTAATTCATAAGAATTCGCCAACTTTAACAAGTCTTCATATATTATCATTTCCAAAGATGGGTTTATTTCGATCCCATTTAAACTTTGAACCGCATATTCGATACTCTGGCCATATAGATAACGTAGTAAGATGCGTACCGAGTTTGGATTGACATCTTCAATCACAATCGTAACTGGATTGACCGGACTTGATACTGCAAAATCTCTCGACGTGAATTTCTCACGGAAAAAATTCGAGCTCGCTGCAAGCATATATCGATTTGTCCTTATAATTTCTCCACTCACATTAAAAACTACATCATGCAAGAAAGTTGCCTGATCTTGATTCAATAGAAATTCAAACATTGTATTGGTAAAATTAAACTGATTGTGCAATCTAACATGTATCTCTACATTCGGTGGTTTTATTTCTCGGACGTTTGCACATTTGAGCATATTAGAAAATTTGGAAAGTGTTGGACTGACATACTTCCTTTCTCCTGGCTCACTGTTCAAGACTAAATCACTTGCTGAACACCAGTTTTCGGGATCAAATGGATTCGAAGTCTTGTGAAAATTAAGAAATAATGGTTCGTTTTGTGCAATATATTGGCTTAAATTGAGATCTTCATTTGAACATTCTTCGTCAAGCCACTTGTAAACTTCATAGACATTATGTTTGAATGTGTCTCCCCAGTCATTTTTCCACATCTCATCATTCAATAAAACATCATGCAAAAAGCGTAGATGTTTAACTACTGTAAAAACATCTGGCTTACCAAGTGATGGATATTTTGAGAGCACGAATGGTGGTGGTATGATATCTTCCGCTACCAGTGATTTTTGACTCCATGCAATTTCTTTATATTTAGGAAGGATTATCTCTTTAAAACAATTCAAATCTCTAGGAGGTTTATAATACATTTTATAAGGATCGTCTAAACTTTTTGCAACTGGGACGAATGGAATTCTTTCAACACTATCTAATTTAATATATTGAAAATTATTATAAAGACAGTTAACCAAGACGAATCCCCGATAACGTAAATCGGATGGTGGACTGCGTTGATTTTGATACTCCTCGATTTTCTCTGCACATTTATTGAATGTTTCTTGGTTGATTCTATTTTTGTATCCAATAGCTGATAACTCTGCCGAATATTCATTAAGATCCGGATGAAGAAAAACGTCCGAGTCTGCAAACACGGTATAAAAAATGGTGCTGTTATGATATAGATCTGAGATTTTCTTCAATGTTTTTCTGGTATCTGTAGGAAAACAACGTCTTCCTTTTAGACCATGAATAATTCTACCATAAGGGTTATCTTTCTCATATTTGAGTATGCTTTTCAGGAACATCATATATTGATCATCGAATTTTTTAGGAAATTCAACATCCTCAAAAATATACGAGAATACATCTCGATGGGGAACATTAAGATCTGCCAAAATTCGTTCATCAAGATCATCAGAATAAGCCAAATATGTTGTATTTGTTTTCAATTTATATAAGTCTATTTCTTTTGGCAAAATATATCCACATGAAACCGGCTTTAAAGCTGGCTTTGATATTTGATCTAATGAACTTATGCGCACTGGCCACATAGGCAATGAAAGGATCATTGTCTTAAGATTATGATCATATTTCACTCCTATATAATAGAGAAAATAAATCTATATATATCTATATAGACCACTAATTACAAAATGTAATTTATAATTTAAAATAATAACTTACCTATTTCATCCCAGTTATTCCGTAGTAAATTTCGGAGATCTTCAGTCTGGGAACGTGCTAGGGTACTGAAGAGAATATCCACGCTGCTACTCCTATCCACCGAAAAATTTTTAAGATACGTAACATACGAATAAATGTATGCTTAATCATCGTCAAATTCGACCTTTTTTTGGTTTTTTTTTTTTACCTGTGATCATAACTGCCATCAGCAATCAACGGAAAGATATCTTTGGTTTGTAACATATGTTGGAGCACCTTGCAGCCATATTCAACTGTATACTTTGGATGATTTCGGGAAATGGGTGGAAATGGCCAAAATTTTGATGTAGGCTTGCTTACTAGATTAATTTTTTTACTTTTCTGCAATTCGATAATTTCTTTTAGGAGCCCGCAATGAATTTTTGGTAGGAATTCGAGCAGTATATGCCTATTCCATTGAAGTTTCTGACGATCAATATCCGGCGTGTCATCTTTTTCAATTAATAGCCTTGCTCGGTCCGAACTTTGAGCCCAGGTTCCACTCAAATGAACAGGTAGATTTGTGACATCAGGCAATGAAAGAAAAGAATACATTCTACCCTTAAATTCACTTGGAATTTCGTTTAAATTTCCAAAAAAGTTAATTTGTTGGTCTGAAGTATGAATTCTCTTTTTAGAACTACTTAACGGCGCGGCAATACCACCTAATATACGTAATCGGTGTCGTTTTGCATATTGCTTCAACTGAAGATCTTCGGGATCTTTTTGAGCGCCAGTAGCAACAATCCAATGATCTATTTGTTTGAATGCGCTGTCAATTAATTCAACCTTCATCTCATAAATTTGAAGTGCATCGTTGCTGATACGTTTTCTTTTATTTCGTACATCATCATCCAACCCTATTATGGTTGCTTTCCAAAGAGGAATCATTTGTTGTGGAGATGTACCTCCTGGTATATGTGATACTTCAAAACTTTCAATATTCCGGAGAAATAAAAATTGTGAGGCAGCATTTGACTTAATGCTGTTAACTAATTTGAGAACGTCCTCCGTAATAAAAATACTATCAGATATTTCACTGGGTTGTTGCCGAAATGGTAACCGAAAGAGTGTTCCTTCGAAGGTAGATCGAAAATCGTTACCTTCTATACCTTCATAAGGAACCAATTGATCTCTTTCAGGGAACCCATTGAGGCCTTCTTTTGGAAAAGTTCCAATACTACCACGTTCTTTTGTGGGCAAGTATTTCTGATGTGGATCCAAAAACGCAATACAATCTCCACTGATAAAACTTGGAACGTCGGTGAAATGGTAGCATGAATTAAAGCCCAGTCCATGCTTCCCAATCTTTGTATCATCACCTTGTTTTCCGCCAACACGAATCTGCATAAGCGAATCAAAGTCGCTTTTTTTAAATTTTGCATCGTTGAATATCAATATGGCAGGACCCTGCCAAGCCTTCATTTCATTTGAAAGTAAAGTCTCAGTGGGATGTCGACGAGCATCGATTATTACATGAAATCTAGTAGCTCCTGCATCATCGGCTATTGTTTTTTAAGTGGATAATAATTCAGAACCCAAAAATAAAAAATAAAAGTATTAATTTAAGTTGAATTCTTACCATTTTGGAGAAATTCCTTAAAAACACTTTCGGAGGGATAATCCTAAAAGATATTAAACGAATATCCTAAATATGTATAAATAATGCATTTCAAAGGTATCGAAGACGAACCTTTGTAATATTACGGATAGACGAGACAAGTGTCTCATTTTGACCATAAGGTTGACAGCTTGAGGTCAAAGACATTATATAAAAAATATTTCAAGAAAAAGTGCAAAATATTCTTCAAATCTGTCCGCAGGATTGTGAATCAATAAAATACGCAAATACGCAAATATAGTTTCTCATTTACTACAAAATTACACGGATGACTTTCTTGTTACTGTTGTACAACGTTTTGCTGAATGTACAGAATATTCCACATCGCATTGCCCACCTTAAAAATTTTTCTTTTTATTAGATAACTTTGATTCTTAATATATCGATATCACAAGTTTAAACAAATTATTTAAACTAATGAAAAAATTCTTTTGAACCTGGATTTCTTCGCAATTCTCTAGCAATTAGCATTTTAGCATAATTTAATATTTCCGGGTCACTTGATTTAAAGAGTCGCGTGCAAGTTACACGGTAAAATAACACTAACCTTACTCGGCTTTATTCTAAAAGTAGCATACTCCGGAAATTTATCGATTTGCCAACTTAGTCAATTGATTAGTAAAAAAAATTGTCATGAGTGATTTGTATGAACTATGAAATTTCAACATATGGGCCGATTTTTTTCAAAACGATCTAATTCTGGTCAAGAATAAAAGTTAGTTAAACTAATTTTTTTATTTTTTTTGCTTTTACTAAGGCTGATGTTTATAGTAATTCTTATCTTTATTGTGTTTTTAATTATACATATATATAACTTGTACAAGATGAATATGTAATTAGTCATATATATAACTTTTAATCATCTATTTAACTAATCTGCTTGAAGATTTTATATTAGCTGTTATACCTATAATCTATTAAAAAATTACTTATTTAAACACTTTAATTCTTATATTATATCAAGAAAATAGTTATCTGATTCTTATATAACTAAATGCTATTTAATTTAATATTAAGTTTCTTTTTTATATAATTATTAAATTGTTATATAATTCAAAACATATTATTTAACTATAAGGTTCTAAGTGTTTTTCTGTAAACTAATCTATTTATTTTATAGTCTTATTAATGAAATTATATCTTTACAAAGTTTATTTAGATCTTAGTATCAACTTTACAATATACTTTTAATATTTTAACATATATTTGTTTTGTTATTAAACTTTTAATTTAAATAGATTAATAGAACTATAATCTGTTTTTAATATATTAAGTTCAGTCTAATATTCTTTTTTTAGTTTAATTCTATTGTCTAATTAATAGTACTTCTTATTAACTTATTTATATTAGTATCTGTTTTCTAAATCTAACTTTTACAGTAATATTATTAAAGATTTATATTATCTTTTTTACTTAGTTTTTTTAAGTAAGTTTCTTGTTTTTCTAATTCTATAACTTTATATAACTACAAGAACTTATTTTAAATGTGCACTATCTAATATCAATTTGTATTTTTCTATATAACTAAAGTTTTTTTTTTTGGTATTAAGATGACCTTTTTGGTCTTTTAACTTTTATTAATAATTTATTAATAATGTAATTCTATGAACTACTACTGAAAAGAGTACAATTGATTATATATATAACTTTTCTATATTACCTATTAAGAAGTCTGTCTGAAGGTTCTTCACCAATTGTTGTATCTAATACTCCTGCTTAGATGTTCTACTTTAAACCCTCTGAACCTATAATCTGTATTAATTTACTAGATTATATCCAGATGTCCAGATTATTGTCTTAACCTTAAAACTAATTTATTCTTGAAGTAAACCTTTCAGAGTTTTTTGTACTTATTTTTATAACTAACTTAGATATCACTATAGCAAAACTAACATTTGTAATCTGAGTTATATCATTTAACTGCTATGCTTTTGTAGAGTTTACACAGATTTTAGTATCTATTTTATAGCATAACCTTAGTACTTTAGTATATCCTTGCCTTTTTATCTGCCTTTTTACTAAACTCCTAATCTAAATAACTTATATAGGAGTATGATTAGTTCATCAGTATATTAGGTTAGCCCAATATTCTTTTTCTCTAGTTCATTTTGGCAGTCTAGTTAGTAGTATCTTTGAGATTTCCAACCTAAAGGTTTTTGTCTATCTGGCTACTATGATCAAGTACTATAATCTTGGTATCTGTTTTTTCAAACTAGTATTTACAGTAGAGTTATTAAAAATCTAATTATCTCTTTACTCAGGTCATTCCAAATAGACTTCTTGTTATTTAATTTCAACAGATTTATATAGCCACAAGAACTTATCTAAAATTTGCACTGTCTGATTTGTTAGTTTACATTTCTTTATATAACAAATTACACAAATGTTCTATAACTTAACAGTCATGCTGATGTAACTGTCATTACAAATATCTTAATCTAATTATTAGTAACAGTTACTATAATATGAATATTATATAAGTTATTATTTAAATTTTTACTATTAATGGAATTTGAATATCTAATCTATCACTTAGAAGATTGACAACCTGACTATTTTACTAGGTTATCACACTTCTTATAACTAAGGTTATACAAATATTTTATAACCTATTAGTTATACTGTAATAGAATTTATTTTTTCCTATATTAGTATATATTTATTTTTAGCTCTATATTATATTTTATAATTTTCCTAATATTTTT